AACGACCACCAGATGGGAACTAGTTTTAAGAAAACACTGTCAAATAGGAACTGGATTTACAAAAGGCCACAAGACAAGATCTGGTTTTAAGAAAAGGCTTCCATATGGGAACTGGTTTTAAAAACTAACTATCAGATAGGAATTGAATTTGAAATAGTATTCCAGACGAGAACTTGTTTTTTATGTTTATTCTTTTATGCTATAGACATATGCTCGAGGAATGAGATGATATGCATGGCTTGACGCTAGAGCGAACTGACATGATTAATGCCTGAGAATGATTTATGTAATGAGTTGAAGGTTTCCAAAAATTCCTCTGTGTGGGTATTGGATGGAAGCTTCCTTTGTAGTAAAGCTTCTTTATCTGTAGGAAAAGGTTATTTGATGAGGGTACCAACATGACTCCCTAACACATCTCTCGAACTCAGCGGCTATTGACATATAACATAGTTTTCTTGAGCAGCCTGAAGTCATGAAGAAGACTTGCCCCTTTGTGGCTCACCTTGCCCCAGTCTGCTGGGTCTTTGAAAGGGTCTACATTGAAAGGATTTTGAAAGTAGATTGCCATGATCTTGAGGTGGCTTTCCTCATTGTATTAAACCTTAAAAGGGTATTTGACTAACCAACTCTTGGAGCCAATCATTGGAGAGTTGGACTCATTGAGCTCTTTGTGGAGCTCACCCTAGTCTGATTCTTGAATATATTTTCTCTTGACTAACCATCTCTTGGGGTGGTTCACTGGGATTCACCAATGCTCAAAGTGATTTTCCCCTGAATGGAATTCTTTCATCTGATCAAGTTCCTCAACTGACTACACATTGTTAGAATTCCTTTGAAGTTAAATGTTGACTTGTAATTAAAATATATCATTTAAATCAAAATTTAAAAATGGTAAGTTTAAGGCTTAATACCTTTTTTGGTCCTCTGCCTATTACTCGGAGTCCATTTTGGTCCTCTTTCTTTTAAAAGTTCCAAGTAGGTCCCTTACGTTGTCTAACAGAACCAAATTGGTCCTTTCTATCAAAAAATGGGTAACGACGTTAATCTAGAGACGTGGAAGCTGAGGTTGATTGGTGGATTGTCTATTCATCACCATCTTCTTCCTTGTTTCTGGAATAATTTTCAATTTTCTCCCAAATTCAACCCTAACGCAAAGTTCTTCCCAAAATCCCCTAATTGAAACCTAAATCATCACCTAATCTTGAGTTCTATGTGCGGTTCATCAACATCATCTAGAAACCGAAGTAAATTGCAAGGTCTTTAGCAGCTCTAATCTTTCATGGAAGCCTCTATGTCATTGTGGAGACAATGTTATACTTCGTAAGACAAGAACTGTCAACAATTATGAAAAGCTTTTTTTGCGTTGTCACCATTTTAAGGTAAGGTTTAGTTTGAATAAGATAAGTTGAATGTTGTTGAAATATCTAGGTAATTCATTTCAGTTTGTGTTCTCAATATCTACAGGGATATAAAATGTTGGTTGTGAATTTTTTGAATGGTTCTATGAAGAAGTTAGAGGTGAAAATGAGAAAACCCTGATGAAGATCCAATGGAAGATAGATGTGTTTAGTCAAGAGATGAAAGAAGCCAAAAAAGAGGTTGAAGTTTTGAGGCTCAATAGTATGGAATTAGAGGATGCTTTGAAGAACACCATCAAGTGGAAGAAGATCTGGAAGTTTATGTTCTATGTTGTTTTATTTGTTTTAGTAATCAAATTGTTGTAAAAGAATTCAAGTTGTTGTGAGAGGTTGAGGTATTCTGTTATTTGTTTTAAAATTATTGTAGTAGTTTGTTATTTGATTACTTTTGTTTTAGTAATCAAATTGTTGTAAAAGAATTCAAGTTGTTGTGAGAGGTTGAAGTATTCTGTTATTTGTTTTAAAATTATTGTAGTATTTTGTTATTTGAATACTTTTGTTTTAGTAATCAAATTGTTGTAAAAGAATTCAAGTTGTTGTGAGAGGTTGAAGTATTATGTTATTTGTTTTAGTGTTTAAGTTGTAGTAAAACTTGGATTATTCAAAGTTGTTGAGTTAGTTGTGTACTTTTGTTACATGTTTAGTTGGACAAGTTAAAATTGCATTGTAGTAAAATCTATGTGTTGTTGTTATAAGATTTAGTTTGAAAAGTTAAATAACAGAACTTGGTATAACAGAAATTTGATTAACGTAAACATTGTTCAAGTTTGAGAACATAACATAAACCTTGTTCAAAATATCATAACATGGCATTGTTACAGACATTTGTTCAAAATAACATAAACATAGTTCAAATGGAGCATAACATAAACCTTGTTCAAAATACCATAATATGGCATTGTTACAAACATTTATTCAAAATAACATAAACCTTGTTCAAATTAGAGAACACAACATAAACCTTGTTCAAAATGCCATTACATGGCATTGTTACAGACATTTGTTCAAAATAACATAAACCTTGTTCAAAATACCATAACATGGCATTGTTACAGAAGCTACATAAATACCAAAACAACATAAAATAAACATTTCAAAACAACATAACATCAACCATGTTCTTAAAACAGAAACTACATAAATCTAAATGGGCTTCTTTGTGTTGTTTCTTTTGGTATTAGTGGTCCTTCTAGTTGTAGGTACCGCTGAATTTTGTGATGCATGTAGCCTGGTGGTTAGTCCTTGTGAAACAGAGGCCATCGTAACAGATGTTTGTCTTGGTTTCCTAAAAGGCAACTTCTGTGGCCTTGCTTGTATTGGTGTTGCCATAGGATGACTTGCTTGAGTTGGGGTTGCCCTTGGCTGAGTTCCTTAAGTTGGTGTTGCCCTTGTATTTTTTTCCTTGAGTTGGTGATGGTGTTTCCCTTGATTGAGTTCCTTCAGTTGTGGCTGGTGTTGCTCTTGTCTTTTTTCCTTGAGTTGGTGCTGGTGTTGCCCTTGATTGAGTTCCTTGAGTTGTGATTGGTGTTGCCATTGTCTGACTTTCTTGAGTTGGTATTGCCTTTGGTTGACTTTCTTTAGTTGGAGTTGGTGTTGCCCTTGGCTGATTTGCTTATGTTGGTGGCTAAGTCCTCTTACAAGTGGATTTATTGTGTCCAGTTTATCTGCACCTTGTACACCTAAGTATCATGCTCATTTTTCTCATTTTTCTATATGATCCATCAATTTCACCTGCTCACGGTTCCTCCTCTTCTTTGGCCTTCCTGACATTTTTTTGAATTTTGGTGGCTGGACATCTGGGTACTCTATTCTGACCCATAAATTTGTTTCATTAACCGGATAAATAATAAGCTCATAAACAGAAATATACCTTGCCTTCTTATAACACTCTGGGATGTAATCATCAACACTTAGATTTCTACTCTTCATTGCAGACAGAGCATGAACACAAGGTTGACCAGTCAATTGCCATTTTCTGCATGAACAATCATGTTCTTTCAAGTTGACAATAAAAATATCACCTTGATTCTCAATGTGTCTTACTTCAAATATAAACTCAGATGACATCCTACAAAATAGTATAAAAAGTCACATAAAGTATAAAAACTAAAGAAATAATTTGTATTAAATTAGTTTTTTTACCTTACTATTTAATAATTTGTGCAACTGCTTGTTTTTTCAACTTTCCTCCCGATGTTTGGCAAAACATCCCCATCATTTAATAGTGAGAATTTTACCCTATTTGCTGCCCATCTTTCCATGATGTATCCCCTAATTTTTTCTAGCATGGTCACCAATGGCTTTGCTCTTGCCTCTACAATAACACTATTGAATGCCTCTGACATGTTATTCAATATAGAATCACACTTTGAAGTTGTCCTAAAATATGATTTGCTATAATATCTGGGACGTAATCATATATCTTTGTGTAATCCTCTAAAAATGAGCCATCAACCATATCCCTAGCTGCAAATCTGACCCTAATTTTCTTTGTCTTATTAACCCCCACATTCCATTTCTTTTGAGCCTTTTCCTTTATATCCTTTAGCTTCAGCTTAGGATTATTTTTCAATGAATTTTGTAACCTCTTGCTAAGCCATTTTGTTCTCACCATCTTTACATTATATTCCATAGAGCAATTGTTGTTATCAACTATTTTTTTTAGTTGCCAAGTCTCCTCATTAGGCAACTTTCCACAATATGCCTCCCACTGGCATCCTTCCTTACACACCACCTTCACTCTCTTTTTGTCATTTTTCAAAAACTTAAGACCTCTACCAGATTGGACAACATACGTTTGAATTGATTCCTTAAAGTCACTTTTTAAGTTAAAATAAGTTCACAACTCCCATTTATAATGAGTCATATCTTTCAACAACTTAAAAATGGGATACTTCTTATTCCCTGGTTCATCACTCTCCTCACTATCACATCCACTATCTAACTTCACACTATCATATAAACTCCCATTCTCCTCTCCACTATCTCCTTCCCATTTCTTTTTCTTAGTTTTACTTGTTTCTTCATGGTTTCCATCATATTCAGCAAGATTGTCTAAAAGTGTTCTTCAAAATAATCCATACTCATAGCATAATCGCTAAATGTAACTCACAAAGCACTATCATAATTTTAATTCTCATCCTCACTGTCATTAGAGCTTGTAATCTCATTCAACAAACCAGCATTAGTATCTATAACATTATGAACCTCACCATCATTGTTCACACTCTCACCTACATTCATACCCTCAACATCATTATTGTTCACACCCCCACCTACATTCATACCCTCAACACCAGTATTGCTCACACCCTCATCTACATTCATACCCTCAACACCATCATTGTTCACCCCCTCACCTACATTCATACTCTCAACACCATTATTATTCACACCCTCACCTACATTCATACCCTCAACAACATTGTTATTCACATCCTCACCACCAGTACCTACATTTGTATTCTTTATGACTTCTACATAAAGATCTTCAAGGTTGGGTTCTACCGCCGGATTAACCATATTTAATGGTTCCTTATCTATGGCTTCTTCCTCCATCATGTTCATAGGATTTTAACCATATTATGGTTGAGATAATGGATGTTCTATGTAAATTCCATCTTTCGAATGTACCCTACAAAGGTCAGCTACATCTAATGCACCCTTATCATCCTTAAGAACATTCATTCCAAATGTGGGGTCATTGTAATATATAGTGTCTATCTCAGTGTAACCCGGATCTTTCACAACACCAACTAATTCAAAGTATGACCACCTATCTACATCTATCTCTAAATTATTGCATTTACCCCCCACATAATCGGTTTTTTCAGAGTCCACAAACTCACCACTATGATGAATTTTCAAACACAAAATTTCTTCCATTTCTACCTAAGACAATAAAACGCAACATTACAAACAAGAAAACTCAACATTACATACAAGAGAATGTAACATAATAACATATTTCAAAAGGGGCAAAAAATCCTAGATACCTAATCAGTTTAAGAAAATGCAACATTTACACACATTCAGAGTAGACAATGACGTGTAAACTAAATTTCGTCTATGTTGCGTCTTCGTCTTCCTCAACTGGCTTTTTCTCTCTTTGTGCTCCTCGTCTTCCTCATCTTGCTTCTTCTTTCTTCGTGCTTTAGGGCTTTCTATTTCAATACATGTTTTAATCAATGACAATGATAATATTATGCTACTTCAGATGACACCTCAGTTAGGCCAATACACATCATGCCACATAACCAAACAATTCATTACACATCAGCAATAACTTAATACGTCAGCCAAGTTTTTGATAGTAATTTAACGTTTCTAACAATCAGGACTAAGATAGTACCATTTTAGTAACATAAGGGACCAACTTGGAACTTTTAAAAGTAAGAGAACCAAAATGGACCCCGAGTCATAGGTAGAGGACCAAAAGGGCTATTAAGCTTAATTTTAATGCAGTGTTTATGCAAAAATTTGAAATCAAAATTTATTGATATCATTGTCAAAAAAAATATTGATATCAACTTGGTGAAATACAGTGAATGGGTCAATGATCAAAATACAATGTTGATCTTGCCATTCATAGTGTGTAATATGGTTCGATCAATAAAAATGATTGACAAATATCTTTTGGAGTCAAGTTAACACAACCTTATTGTAGTATGCTTTTAGAATAAACCTTGCCTCAATCAGACCTTTTAAGGTTTATAACGTGGTCTGGTTCATGATTTTTAAAGCAAAGGGATATATGGCTCAAAATTTAATTTAAACCCATTCATTATTCTTGATGATCTCCAGTTCCTACATTCAGTTAATTTTGACACACGCATTCGAATTCCAAGAGTGTTCGAATGTGCGATGGTAAAGATGTGGATTCAAGATGAGAATTTCTAGAAAGTGCGGTCAACTTATTTTGTTTTTTTTTGTTGAGGGTTTGATGACTTATATTTTTTTCTTATATATCCCTAATTTCTCCTGGACCGCTTCTTTGAAACTTTCGGTCCACTAGGATTCCTTTATTATTTTCCTAAGTCATTTTTTGTGGTATTCGACTTACCAGACTTTTTTTTGAAAGATTGTGACTATCATCTTATTGGTTATTAAGGAACAACCATTATAAACTTTTGGCTTTTCACAACTTCTTCGAAACTTTAAGATGTGTGTGAAGTGTGGGATTGATCTTCGGGTGGAATGTGTGTAGATGGACTGGTTCTCTTGAAGATTAAATGCATAGTAAACATATCTAAGCACAACTACCCTACCCCTAGTTAAGATTGAGAGTTTTAATTCTGAAATAAACTACTATACTTTAGCTTTGAAAGCTTTGCACTCCTCAATCGAGGGCCCTATTAATCTAGCATGATACCCACATTGCACATAAGGATCGTACCCAGACGAAAATGGTTGCGACACAGGCTTCAGAGGTTTGGGATCCACCAACGAATTTTAAATTAGAGGCTGCAGAAGTTAACTATATGGCATAGGAATTGGATCAAGGGGAGCATTCAATATTTCCAAGTTATTGCGAGGCCTATGTTGGCTCTGATGTTGATTCTGATATTCTTGGCCATGAGCTCGCTGATTTAAATAAGGAGCGATTTATGGTTTCTGGTATGGCGCATTAGGCATTGCTAGTTGACCATACGGATAGCGTTGCATGAGAAATGGTGACCGCTGAGAAGATGAGGGACCATATGGTCTTGCTGGTGCACCATGAGAATATTCGACACCTGTCATGACTGCATTCATTACATCCTCTTCTTCCTCTTGGGAGCTACTAAGAGATTCATTCTCACTAGCTTGGCTGCTCGAGGCATCTTGGATTTTTCCGCTCTTGAGGCCGCTCGATGCATTCTCCAACTTTCACTAAGTCATAGAAATCTAATGATGCATTTCCTATCATTATTCAAAAGTATGGTCTCTGCATGGTATCCATAAACAAGTCAAACAACTTTTTCTCTAAGAGTGGCGGTTGCACTTGAGTTGCCAATTCTCTCCACCGCTCCGCATATCCTATGAAGAATTCGTCGCTCTTTTGAGATAAGCTTTGCAGCTGCTTTGATCTGCAACCATGTCCATATTGTACTTGTAGTGCTTCAAAAAGGTGTTGGTCAAGTCCTCCCAATACTTGATGTGGCTCTTTGCTTGCGTTATATACCAACTTAACAATTCCTCACTCAAACTATCTTGAAAATGATGAACCATCACCTTATCATCGTGAGTATAGAAGTTCATTCATCTACAGAACATTACCAAATGGTGCCTTGAAAATTTATCCCATTTGTACTACTCGAAGTTGGGTACTTTAAACTTAGGATGTATGGCCAAATCTGACGCTAAACACATGTCATCAAGTCTCAAACACTAAAACCCTTTATAGTCCTCAATCGTTTCTCTAGATCATGATTTTTTTTGCGACTTCATCCAATTTAGAACGCCTCATTTTTGTCATGAGGTGGGCACCCTGAGAATTTAGCATGTTCTATATGAATTGAGGACCCTCTTTATGAACACTGGGGTTATTCGGCATAATGGGGATCTCACTTGATATTAGGGTATGCATAGTCTGAGGTTGAGTAGGAACATCCACTTGTCGAAGAAGAGATTTATAGGGAAGATTGTACATTGGGTTAGTCATCACGGTAAATCCTAATAGGGGACCAACATTCTCTGCAACAATATGCTAAAGATTGTTCTTTGACATAACTACCACAACTTCAAATACTTGGTCTACTTGGCCTTTCAGGATGTATATATTCCTTCTCGTTACTGTTTCATCATGCTTTAAATGCTTTATCGTCCTTCAACAACTACCATGGGTTCAATATGGGTGCCGCGAAATCAACTGGTAGGTTATGGACAAAGGCAGAATGAGTTTTTTTTTTTGGAAAATGACATGCATGCATGCGAATGCATAATTTTGTTGTTGATATGCAAAAAATTCACTGACATGATATGTACGAATGCAACAAAATGTCATGTGCATGTAATGGTATGAGGTAACATTAGTAACAATAGAGCAACATAATTAGGTGGGCTTCCTATATCGGGATAGTTATAAGTTTTGTTTACCTATTGAACCCACTCACAATTTTAGCTCTAGGTGTTTGGATATGAGGGTACACAGGTTCACAGATCATAATCAGAATTTTTCCATGCAACGCGCTAACCGTTTTATAACAAACTTCATGAAAAAGTCAACTCTATATGGGGTCTTTGCGTTGATCATACAAGATGTGTTGCTTGGGGATCAATACTACACAACCACTATAGATGGAACATGTTCTAAAAAGTTCCTTAGAGTCACCGACCATAATTGGAAGTTTCATCATGCAACAGGCTAGTCGCTTTATGAGAAACTATACAAAAAGATCTACTTTAAGCAGGGTCTTCGTGTTAACCATTTAAGGTGTACTCCTTGGGGGCTAACACTACACAACCACCTCATAACTTATGTTCATTCTCTTTTTTTCTTCAAAAGCTCGGGTAAAGAATTTCACTCAAGTAACAATTCCCAATGCCCACACATGAATATATGCATGAATATAAAAATGTGATAAAGTAAAACAAAAGAGACAGGCAACCAAGAAGAAGAAACAACAAAGCTAACAAAAAAATAACTAAACTAGGATGGAATCACTTAGGAGAAGGTCCCCAGTAGAGTCATCATTTATCGCACCACAAAAAAGAGAACACGACCTCACGAAGCGAAATTGCACGCTTGCGAAAATGATGGACTGAACAGGGTCGCCGCCGAACTTTATTTATTCTAGAAAAAGGAAAAGAGAAATATCGATAAAACTAAAAAAGAACGACAATGATTATAGTCGTCGTAACCGAATCAGAATTTTAGAATCGGTTATGCATGAGAAATGTATTAGCACCCCTCACGTCCATTGTACTCAATAGGAACCGTTTGATTAGCTTCAAAAAATGGATGTAGTGTTTTCAAGTCATTTTTGTGTAATAGTGTCACATGAGTAATGGTGAGATGAAGAGAGCTAGAAGAAGATAAGTTAATAAATGTAAAGAGAGATATTTGAAGGTGGTAGACTATAGTGAGATTATGGTAAAGTGGGGGTGAAAGAAGAAGAAAAGGAATGTTGGAGAGAGATAATGAAAAAAAAAATTGCAGAAAAAAAAATAAGGACCCGTTATATTAGAGATTTCATGGCCAGAGAGAGAGAGTGAGTTTTTCTTTTTTAAAACAAGGCCTTTTTTTTTCCTGCTATCCACAATGAAAAACTAATTTTTCTACAAATAAAATAAAGAGGTTTGGATATGACCTTCATTTGCAAGTTGTATAAATCCATTTTTTTCATGAGCCTTTGTCTTTTAATTGGTCTATTTGTCTTTTAATTGGCATTTTTTGAAATCAAGGAAACATACTCTCTCTCCATGTGCCGCATGACATATCTTTTGACTCTCTCAATTTCACATATCATGCATTATATGACACAAACTAGAATTATTTAAATTTAATACATTGCCAATAATACTCTCAATTTTATTTTAAAGACAAAATCAATTAACACTAATTAAAAATAAATAAAATAAGCACCTTAAAATAAACACAATAAAATAAAAAATAAAAATACAGTTAATCTTATTTAATTATTTCAAACATTTTGACAAAAAAATAAAAATAAAAGTCTTAAAATAAATAAAAATCGGACACAAAATTATTTAAAAAAATTAAAATAAAAGCACTAAAATGATCAACGCAAAATAAAATTTTAGAAAGCAGACAAGTTTTGATCAAATTTTGAAGTAAAAAATGATCGGTTAAAAAGACTCAGGATGATCAAAATTCGATCGAAAAAAGAGTCGAAAAAATAAAACGAGCATGTCAAGTTAAACTACCCGAATCGTAAATTAAT